GTCCGTGGAATTTTCTAATCTCATTAAACTGCTTAACAACGAACGTCTCCGTTAAAAAAGCAGTTAACAAGCTGTTGTACAACAGCATTGACACTAGCTCGATCTGTTCGTTAACTTTATGTGCTCAGTAATAACAATGATTAATCATCTCCTTACAGCCGATTCACGAAATCTCATCGATTTACAATGTTTCAACTTTCAATAAGTCAGCCGTTCACTTAGATCGTGTTAAACAAGTGCAATTTAACCACAATGAACAAGGTTTTTCCCTGAGGTACTTACACTTGAAAAGAACCGCGTCGCCGCCTTCCGCCATTTTCGAATATGACGCCTCCTCTCGCGTGGCCTCATGGGATAGTAAAGTGTCCATCCTATGCATGCTACGGAATTCGGGCGGAAGTAGTAGGTCATCCGGGTACTTCTCGCCTACTGTTTTTCGAATACTATGAATTCGGACATACTACTCGCCTCGCATACTGTTTTTCGCCTGCTATATAGTATGGAAGTATGCGATTTCGGACGCAGCGTGGGTATTTGGACAAGGCTTTGGACAAGGTGTACAACTGGTGGACGCTCAACGGCTAGAGAATGCCCATAATGCACCGTGAGAGTCACGCGCCGAATCCCGCATCTCGCCAGAAGACTGCGCCCGCAGCTGAATAATCAATCCGTTCATTTTTACAAAGCGCTCATCCATGGCGTACAGCATAATGTACAACACGGGCATAAATTCATTGTAAATTGATTATTAAATTGTTTGATTAGGGTTTATACATAATTTCCGTGACAGAGTTCAAGATAAATCCTTTAATCTTACTACTGGAGCTGCTAGTTTCAAATGATTAATAAACAGCAAGCACAAACTATGCAAAAGCGGCATTCCTTCCGGTGCACTCAGTGTCCGAATTCACTACTCGTTTTCATTCACTCCTTCTACTGAACTGAATTAGTGACCTAATGTAGGGAATAGTGAATGAGGGTATAGGGGGCGATTTCGGACACAGTATGTTCCATTGCGCTTCCAAAACCGAGTCAGTTCCCGACCAGTTTGTTAATCGGTTCATTTCAAAGATCCGACTCACAAGAACGATTCGTTCACGAATCGGACATCACTAGACAAAAGCAAGACTTTTCACACGACAAGACCCCCTGTGTGCTTCTTCAGCACCGTATGCGACCATAAGCTTCACAATAAATTGAATTCATAGTTTCAAAAGCAGTTTAATTTGAAAATCCTCATCCTATCTCTTGAACGGTAAGCCCCGCCCACCCGAGAACCCTTGTAGTCATGCTAATGGCTCTTCCACACGTTAATTCTGCTCCCTCATCCTCAATACACGCCCCTAATTTCACTTCCTCCGCGAGCCGCGCCTGGGACGGGGCTGGCTGACTTCAGCCCAGGAAAGAAAGCATGTAAAAGAAGATTAAAACACATTTAGTGCGGTCTCCCTGTCAAATAGCCCTTTGAGTTGCGTGCGGCTCTCTACGGTTGATAGAGAAAGGAGCGGACGAGCCAAGCAAGTGACAGTGAAAAGAGATCGAAAGGTAAGAGATCTCCACCTCTGTCTCCCTGTATTAGGACCGCTACTTTAGACCTCTACTGTGAAGGTCTTTCAACGGATTTTCGGTCGCGCATTGTGCGTTTACGGAATCTGTTGGAAGATCCGAGTCATGATTGAATGGAGGAATGAAGTTACGCGTGCAACTGAAGTTGATGAAACTTTGTGGCATTGTGTAAACTTTAGAGGGGGCGCGATGTAGCTATTCTATTGAAACAGTTTTTGAGAATAGCTTGTGCTTTTAGGGGGCACAATTTAAAAATGAATCTTAGCCTACATTAAGTATTATTCATTCTGTCATTTTTCACCAGTCACATTTTCATCTAAAGTGATATTCTTTATAAAAGTTAAGAGTCAGCCACGCCTACCTAAAATGGCTCGTTCTAACATGCCCCCACATATCTACATCACTATGTGGAAATATTAGCATAATGCCGCCCAAATGTGCAGGCAAAGAAAGAAGACGTGGTTTCAGGAACAGCAGTAGTGATGGGAAGTTCGGATCATTTTACCAACTCGGACCTTTGAGTCTCGTTCAGCAAAATTAACGAATCTTTTTTCGAGTCATTTCGTTCATTTTAGCAAAATATTATTAAAATGTTACGTGTTACTTCTCTAACACGTCTACTACTTACGCAATTGTTGATCACACTAAAAACAATACAAAACTGCTATAAGAAATAGAAAAGATTAATTCATTGTTTACCTGGGTCTTCAGTCTATGATTAGCTCACCTCACATCTGACAAGTCTTCGGGTTTGAGTCGTTCGTTCATCACGTGACAGCAGCATAAACTTAACCAATGCAGTCTGAGCCGGAAAGAGAATTGATTAGTTCATCTCTCGAGTCTTTCGAGTCATTCGTTCTTTTGTCACGTGACGTGACAGTATTGGATAGAGAAATTAGTTAATTTACAAGCTTCCTTACAAACGGGCGCATAGTTATTATTATTATTATTATTATCATCATTATTATAATTATTATTTACTCTTACAGTTACGTGATGCGTTTCTGGTCTCAAATTGTAGCTTTTTACTTCTTACAGTTTATAAATGTGTGAATTTCTGTCATGATGGTTATTTTCCGTAACACTGAGTGTTGTAACAAAGGTAATAAAGAGTTGGTTATTATTATTAAGTCTCTTTCCGGCTCAGACTGCATTGGTTAAACTTATGGGGCTGTCACGTGATGAACGAATGACTCAAAAAAACCCGAAGACTCGAAACAGGTGAACTACGTGACTAATTCCAGTACAGAACCTATAGGATGTTGCGCATGCGCGACTGAACAAATCACTCCCCGAGACGACTCGTTCTTCCTGAGTCACATTTAAAGTTCGTTCAAAAACGAATCGTTCAAGAACGACCCAACACTAAACAGCAGTCGTGTTGAAGCAGCCATGTCAGGGAGACGCTGTGTTTCAGTGTGAAAGCAAAAGCACTTTATTTGGCCTTCCGGAAGTAGATGCAATGAGGAATCATTGGTTAAGATTTATTTACAACAGAACAGCACAACCCAGATGTTCAAATTTGTGCAACGCATTTAATGGACGACAGTTTTTTTTAACTTAGAAGAGTACAAGGCTGGCTGTGCAAAAAGGCTATTTCTAAAAAAAAAAAAAAAAAAAAAGGGTAAATTCCGACTTTGCTATGACAATCTGTCGCTTCTGAATCAGCGACTGTAAGTATGTTTTGTTACTAGTTTAAGTATTTGTTATTGACTGTTCAAATGCAGAGTTTTGCGCAGAGTAACGCGTCGTGTGTGTGTGTGTGTGTGTGTGTGTGTGAGAGAGGGGAACAGGGTCACATCACAGGAGAGTGAACTGCCTGTCAGAAATCATAGCACATCAGCTGTCTGAACCGCGGCTTGTGTACTGCATCATCACTGTGTCTGTCTGGCGACTCTGTTGCACTTTCGGGCTTGAACTGATGGTAAAACTAATGACATTATTAAATGTCTTAAGGGGCATTACATTTCTGACGCATGCTTGTGGTGTTCGGCCAATCACAATGCACTGGGTCAGCTGGCCAATCAGAGCAGACTGCGCTTGTCAAAGGAGGGGGCTTTGTTGAAAACTAGGTATTTGAGAGAGGCGGGGCATAGAGGACCTACAATAATGTACAGTATTTTAAAAATAATGTGTTTTTTGAACATTAAAGCATGTCAACATATTCTGTTACACCAAATACACAAAATAATGATCTTTAAAATAGCATCATATGACCCCTTTAAACTAAAATGAATGGTTCATCATTGTTCATTTTTTTTTACAAATAATTTTGTATTGTTGTGTTAGGGGCGTCATGCACTTATTATTTTTAAGGGGGCATGGGTGGGGGGGGGATTGACTCTCATGCTTGTCATGTGACACGCAGCAGCCACAATACCATTACCAAAAAAAAAACCAATAAAACCATCACGGAAATTTTTTTTGGTTTTCACTACAAATAACCATTACAAACCATCAACTTTTAACCATTAAAACCATTAAGAAAATGGTTTTCTGTAGTGTGTTTTGGGACATATTCAATTAGGATTTATTGGTTTTAACAAGCCACATATAGAAGGCAACCAATTACCAGTAGAGACCAACAGGGTCCATTACAGTTTCCAGTAAAACCAATACAAGTCCCATTATAACCAGTAAAACTATTACAAATTTTTCCAAAATATATCGTGAAATATCTCAATTCTCAAATATGTGTAAGTAAATGCATTTTGCACCTTTATAGATTGTGTTGATCTATAATGGGCGATGGGCAAAGTAGCCTAATAGTGTAATCTATTAACTTTGCATAAAAATCTTTTTACTTAAGTACTAGATATGGGTGTCATACCATAAAATATTTTTAACACGACTTACTTTGTATGTAATGTGAATTTAATAAAAACATTGTAAGTTACTAATTAGCCTGTAACACTTTCATTGTACAAAAAGAGAGCAAAGAATCTTTACATTATCAAAGAACATTTTCACTCAAGTCCTGCGAGTTCAAGCACTCTCAAAAACTCCCATAATAATCTCTAAAGCTGTTTACACTGTGAAATTAATATCTTACTTACATTCGTACATCTTCACTTTGTTGTTTCTGATGAGAGAATTGGCCAGAGAATTTAGTCAGCCAGCGTGCGCAGTGGCGAAACAGCGTGTTTCAGCGGTGACTCATCTGAATGCCTCTGATTGGTCTTTGCATTCATAAGCTCAACAGAAACGTATGGGATTGGTTATAATGTGCAGTGCTTTAAAAACACGTCTGTCTCTGGCTCTGTGCCAGAGACAAGGAGACAGAGAAAAAGGACTGAATGAGCTATAATCTATCAAATATAACAACCATGAATGAAATCAAGTCATTTTGAGGCAGAAAGAACAGTTCACTCAATAAGTAGAGTCTGTAATAATTTTTTGGTAAGTGTAAAACCGCATTTTATGGGTTTTATTGGTCATTTAAAGGTATTTCAACAGGTAAAAAGGTAAAAAAAAATTTTTTTTTGGCAGACGATCAATTTTCGGCACGACACCGGTCTTAGCTGGTCTCCCAACTTGGACTTGTTTTTAAACACTTGTCAGCTGGTCAGGCTCGGACAGCATCTGGCTGGCCATCTAGACCAGCTGAAGACAAGCTTACTTAGTCTGTTTTTTTTAAGGTTTTTGCATGCATCTGAGTCTTCTGTCTCAGCATTTGCAATGTAGGTCATGATGAGAAAGTGAATTCATTTTGATAATTGAGTTGTCATATCCATGAAAACGTTTCCCAAATAATCATCTGAATGTGTTTTAATTATTTTAAGTCTTATATTTATTTATCATTTTACTAGTAGACTACACAACCTCTCTGGGTGACTGCAAATAAAGCCTGTAAGTTTCTGTCCATAGCCTGCCATTGTCCATTCACCCCCTCAGACAAGGGAAATTCATTGCTCACCCCCCTTAAAAATGTGATTTCATGTGAATGTGAATGTCCTCCCCAGTTATAGTGATTGCTATGCCCCTGCGTTTATGGCTGAGGAGATGCAGATGGTCAGATCAGGATCTGGTGACATTGCTATCTTTGTATTGATTGATCAAAGAATAAAATTAGTTTAATAGTATAATAGTAAATTAGCTGTGATTCAACAGATGCTGGGGTCAGAGTGGTTGTTCTATTCTCCCCTAATGTTTAAAAGATTAGAAACGTTTTTGTGACTGATTTTTGCCCTGGAGAATCTTGAGTTTATAAAATCATTTGTAATGGTTTGGTACAAATGAAGCCAACTCTCTCTGTGTGGAACTTCTAAGTCTCTTTTAATGATAATTACAGAATTTGGCTGAGGTGATTATTGGTAAGCAAATATTTGTGTGACAGGGTTTTATAGGGAGAGTTTCTTTATACTCGATATGAACGACTGAGCACTTTTTTCTTTTGTAATTGGTGCCATGTGTTTTGTAAATAACTTGAAAATGTGAAAACCTACAGAAAGCTTGGACTTCAAATCACATTGCAATGCCACTATGAAATTGAGTCCCAATCAAAATTAAGTCAGAACAGTTGTATGATTGGCCCACAAAACTTTGAGCTTTAATGCTTTTGCCTGTCAAGGTGGTGTAGTGTAGTTTTGTAATATCAAATTTAGTTAAAGGGGTCATATGATGTTGCTAAAAATAACATTATTTTGTGTATTTGGTTTGGTGTAATGAAATGTGTTTATGCGGTTTAACGTTCAAAAAACACATTATTTTCCACATACTGTACATTGTGTCTCATCTATGCCCCGCCTTTCTGAAACGCGTCGACTTTTTACAAAGCTCATCATTCTGAAAAGCGAGGTGTGCTCTGATTGGCCAGCAACCCAGTGCGTTGTGATTGGCCGAATACCTCAAGCGTGTGATGGAAATGTTACGCCCCTTACCATACTGTGATGCCGTGTCCCAGAGCGACGAGACAAAAACATTAAGGCATTTCTTGCATCCAGTGGTGACATAATTACAGATTATAATGATTTATACTG